ATGCTACTTGGGACTTTTAATGATTGTTAATTTTTACTTTGAACAAATGATTGACTTGAAATAATAGATTTAACTTTTTTAAAGATAAAAAGTACTAGAAAAAATGAAATGTCAGTATATAAAGGACTATATCATCTATATGTTATTAGAACTAATCATATTTTGTCATTTAGTGTTTTATTTAACTCTATTATAAAAATCTCCCCTAAAATGTTTCTTAATCTAACTAGGGATTTGTTTCATATAACAAGTCCAGAAATGCTGTCTATGGCAGCCATGGACACCCAAAAACATGCCACTGGGGAGCGAGAAATTTTGTATTTTGAGGATTGTGTTACTGGGACCATCATCATTCCAATGGTCCTCAAGTTGCGCAACCCAACCCAGGGCATTTCGTTCAACTGCCAGAGAACAACAAGGAGACAGGACAATGGGAACTTGGCTAAGAGAAAAAGAGCAACAATAACTTCCCCTTTCCAAACAGATTTTCAGAAATCCAAATGAGTGAATTATGTACTCCTCATTGGCCAGGTCTATAAGCTCTGCCCGCCATCAGTTACAAGGAAAAACTGGGAAATTTATTTAAAGACATTAAACAGTGCTTAATATGGAAATGTGAACATATCGAATCCATTTACCTTTGTAAAGAAAATGAGAAGAATGAATATAGTAGGGAAATTGACAGAATCGGGCACATTAGAAATGAAATGAAAGCTATAACAAGTGCCTCAAATAGGTATCATAGACCACACACTCTGACCATAATGCAGTCAAATAGTGACCAATAAGAACACGCTGACAAAAATGGTTTTTTGGAGCATACCAACCAAGTCTACATTAAAGCAGCTCAAAGAGGACTTCGCATTGGAAATGAAACCATATGCACCTAAGTGAATTGAAATGGAAGCTACAGCATATCCAAATTTAAGTGGCAGAGCTGAAAGGGTGCAAAGAGGGATAGTCATCATCTTATAACATTTGTTCCAATTTAAGGATGAGACAATGATAACAGCAATGATCATTAACATTTATGGTGTTTCAGTCCTACTGTGTACTCATTTGTTTGCAGTAAGTGGAGAGCTGGAACTGAAGGCTTTCTCATATCTATTCCAATCATAGTCTCTCTCTCCAGGATGTGGTCTCATATGTAATATAAGGGATATGTTTTTAAAGGGGTCTTTCCTACATTCCTTACTCCCATAAGGAGTCTCTGCAGTGTGAGTTCTTATATGGACTATGAGTTTGAGACAATATTGAAGCCTTTTCCATATTCCTTAGATTCATAGTTTCTTTCTAGTGTGAGGACAAATGTCTATCCAAGATGAATGGAGATGAAATGCCTTCCATAGATCTCACATTCAAAGGATTTCTTTTCAGTGTAAATTCTCAGAACTAATGATTTTTATGTTACACATAAATAGTGATCACTGGAAATAATTCCTAAAATTTCTGCAAAATAGAAGTCATATTACATTTAATTTAACTTATCAAAACAGGCACAAAAAGAAATAGAAAACCTAAGTAGTCTTACATCTGTTAAATAAATCAAATAATTAAATTCTTCTACAAAGAATATTCTAGGCCTACATGGCTTCAATGGTAAATTCTATGAAACACTTAAGGAAAAAATAAAATCAAACTTGAAGAAACTCTCCTAGAGAATAGAAAAAGAAGAAATACATTCAATCATTTTATGCTGTCAGCATAACCTTGATCACATTACATGCCAAGAGCATTGTAAGTAAGGAAAATGATAATTTAATTGTGTTATATTAAAACTGAAAACTTCTTTTCATCATGAACATTAGATATTAGCTCTTTGTCAGATGTATAGTTGGAAAATATTTTCTCTCATTCTGTAGGTTGTCTGTTTACCCTATTGATTATTTCCTTTGCTGTGCAGAAGCTTTTTAAATTTAATCAAGCCCCATTTATTTATTTTTGTTTTTGTTGTATTTGCCTTTGAGGTCTTAGTCATAAATTCTTTGCGTAGGCCAAGATCTAGAAGAGTTTCTCCTTCATTTTCTTCTAGAATTTTTATAGTATCATGTCTAACATTTAAGTCTTTTATCCATCTTAAATTAATTTTTGTATATGGTGAGAAATTGGGGTCTGGTTTCATTCTTCTGCATGTGGATATCCAGTTTCCCCAGCACCATTTATTGACTAGAGCTTCTCTTCCCCAGCGTATGCTGTTGTCTGCTTTGTTGAAGATGAGTTGGTTGTAGGTAGATGGATTTTATATCTGAGTTCTCTATTCTGTTCTATTGGTCTACATCTCTACTTTTATACCAGTATCATGCTGTTTTGGTTGCGATAGCTTTGTATAATTTGAATCATGTAATGTGATGCCTCCAGATTTGTTCCTTTTGTTTAAGATTGCTTTGGCTATTTGGGTTCTTTTTTGATTCCAAATGAAGTGTAGAATTATTTTTTTTTACATCATAAGCACTGATGGAAAAATCCTCAACAAAATTATAGCAAACCAAAACTGATGATATATACAAAAGGATAATACATCATGACTAATTTTGATGTTTTCTAAGAATGCAAGGTTGGTTTAAATTTCAAAAATTAGTCAGCATCATTAATCACATTAACAGAATAAAGTAAAACCTCATAAAATCTTCTTAATAGATGCAGAAAAACGTGATAAAATTTAGCACAATAAATGATAAAAACTCTTGGCAAAGTAGGAATAGAATAGAACTTCTTTAATCTGATAAAAGATGTCAACAAAAATACTTACAGCATTATACTTAATGGTGAAATATTGAAAGCGTTCCTTTTGATATCAAGAATGAGATAAAGACGACCACTATCACTTCTATTTTGTACTGGAATTCACAGATAATTTAATAAGGCAGTAAAAAGAAATTAAAAGCTTAAAATTCAAAAGATATAAATGACATTTTATATAGATTCTCCCCAACCAATCTACATGTAAACTATTATAATTAATGAGTCAATTTATCAAGGTATCTAAACATAGTCAATATCTGAAAATCAATTCTATCTCTATATACCAGCCACAAAAAAAATTAGGAAACAAATCTTAAAAATATCATTTAAAATGGCATCAGACCCATAAAATACACAGGAAAAAAATATAACAAAATATGTGTAAGATTATTACACAGAGAACTATAAACATTGCTGAGAGATGTTAAAGAAGGCCTAAATCAAGGGGGAGATGTATGGTGTTTATGGATTGGAAACCAAATATTGTAAAGAAGAAAAATTTTTTTCTAAATTGATCTATATATTTAATTTAATTCAGATTAAAGTCCCAGCATAAATTTTGTGAAAATTAAAAAGCTATTTAAAAAATTTTGTAGAGATGCTAAGGGGCAAGAATAGTCAAAACAATCTTGATAAAAAAAAAATAAAATTGGAAGACTTCTACTGTAGGATCTCAAGATTTATTGTAAGGCTAGAATAATTAAAACAATAGATAATGGTACAAGGATATACATATAAAAAATTGCAACAGAATCCAGAAACAAATCTAAATAGATACTTGATATATGACAAACATATTACTCGGCTTCGGCTGACATAACAAAATGCCATAGACTTAGTGGCTAAACAACCAAAATATACTTTCTCACAATTCTGGAGACTGGAAGTCCAAGATCAAGGTGCCAGCAGGGTCAGTGTCTGGTTAAGGCTGTCCTTGGATTGCAGATGGTTACCTTTTCACTGTGTCCTCATACAGCAAAGAGAGAACAAGCTCTCTGGTGTCTTTTTTCATCGGGGTACTAATCCCATTGGACCATGGCCCCATCTTCATGGTCTCACATAGCCCTAATTATCTCCCAAAGACCCCATGTTCAAATATAAGTACATTGTGGGTTAGGGCTTCAACATATGAATTTTGAGGGGCCAAAAACATTCAGTCCATAACAACAGAGATGAGCAGTAGAGAAAAGATAGTCTTTTCAATAAATACATTTATGGAAACAATATATCTTGATTCTCTACTTCACACCATTCACAAAAAAATTCTAGATGCATTGTTGGTCTCAATGTGACAGGTAAGACGATAGACTTTCTGGAAGAAAGCCTAGGAAAATATATTCATGATCTTGAGTAGACTGATATTTCTTAAACTACACACCAAAAGCACTAACCATAAAGGAAAAGTTTGATTAAATAAACTATATTACAATTAAGAACATTTATTGATTAAAATAAATCTTTCAAAGGAATGAAAAAGCAAATTGCTGAGTAGGAGATGATGTTTATAATGCATTTCCCAACAAAAGACTTATATTGACAATATATAAAGAAACACTATAATAAAAAAAGAAAACAGCTCAATAGGAATATGGGCAAAAAAATATAAATAGGCACTTTGCCAAAGAAAATATCCAAATTGCTAATATACATTAAAAGTTGTTCAATCTCATTACTCTTAAGGGACATAAATTTTAAACTCATGAGAGATCAGTACACACATATGAGAATGGCTAAAATGAAAAAGACTGACAATGCCAAGTTTGAGGAGGATGTGGAGCAACCGGGACTCTCATGCATAGCTGGTGAGAGTGTCAATCAGAGTAACCACACTTGAAAGCTAATTGGCAGTATCTATTAATGCTAAACATACACATATACTATTACTCAATAATTTCATCTTATGTATGTTTGTAGTCAACACAAATGTGTATATGTGAGCCAAAGATACAGAATAATCTTCATAGTAGCATTTATTCATAACAAGTAAAAACTGGAAACAGCCCACCTGTTCAACAGTTGTTGACATGGACCCCTAGGGGTTCCTTGGATGGGCTTAGTGGGGTGAGTGTGGGCCTTGAAGTTTAGTGTGAAATTGTGTGTATATCATATATGTATAATTTAGGAAAAGCTGGTCCTTTTTTGTCAAAAGATCCTTGCCTCAAAAAATACTAAGAATTCCTGCTTAAGAGAGCAAGATTTTCATAGTCAAAAAATTTTTTAACTCCTCCTAATTCAAACAACTAAGCCCTAGAATGTAATTTTTTTCCTCTTTTAAAGAATTTATTTTACACATATCATACCACATAGCATGTTTTAAACACTGACATATAACTCCCTAGTAAGATAAAGCAAAGACAAAAAAGCTTATCTTATTAGAAACAAGATACACCATCACTTATAGTCTTCAAACATTATTGCACTTTTAACTTCATATTTGACAAAGCATTCATCAAACAATCTGCAGACTAGTTTAACAGACAAATAACACCTTTATGCAGACGTGACCATCCTAAATTGTTTACTAGGTATGAATTTTATAAACATTATTTATATTAGTGGTAACGGTAGAGCTGGAGAGTATTGCGCCTTCTCCAAGCTGCATGCGAGAACCACCAATAGTGTGGTGGAACTTATGGCCCTTTCCAAGGCCACGGCTCTTGAGGCCTGCAGATGTCAGCCCACGCATCTCCCTGTGCTTGTGCACCAGTTTGGTGATCCACTGGGTGTCAGGATTTCTTCTGATAGCTTTATGGAATGGATCAATGAGGAGAAACCTCAAAAAATTTGTACGTGGAATCTTCACCTACCCAGTAAGAATTCAGGACTCTTAGAGCCCCACAGTGGCGTCCACCTCCCTCCTCTGCAACAGACTGAAGGCTTCGAGCAAATTTTAGCTGGTTAACACCATGATGCACAGGCTTGCCATAGCTTGCACCCTTAGGAACTGGGCGTTTGCAGCCACTACAGCGCACATGAATCCTATATATGACATAACCTTGCTTGGACTTGTATCCCAGTCTGCGCGCTTTATCCGGTCGGGTGGGGCAGGGAGCCCTGTGGAGCTCAGAGAGCTGCCGGTATTGCCAGCAGCGGACTCTCAGAAGAAAGCGCATGACATCAGACTGCTGCTTCCTCCACAGCTCCTGGAAATACTTGTATGCACCCATCTTGGCTTACCTGATGGCTGCCGCCAGACGGAAAGGAAGGAGCCTTTCCTAGAATGTAATTTTAACTTTTTTTTATCCTATATCCTACCTCTAGTCTGTTCATAGCTTTCTCAAATCAAGTAGAAGATTTGAAATCTCATCATTCCTTGTTATTAAGGAATTATCATCTAGTGAAGTCCAAATGTATCATAGGGAAGCCTAAAAGTTAAGTTAAAGGCATAAGGCATAAATATCCCCCACTGTGGTCTACTTGAGAGCTGCTTTTGATACTGTGTAAAGTGGAGAGAAATTACTGGGCAAGTGACAAAGTAGGATATACAATATTTCTATACCAGTGGTTCTTATCAGGAGGTTACTTTACCCCCCAGGAGAGATTTTTGGTTGTTACAACTGGGAGAAGGGTTGCTATTGGCATCTAGAAGGTAGAGGCCAGGGATGCTGCTTAATGTCCTACAATGCACAGGACAGCCCAAGACCAATTATGCAGCTGAGAATGTCAGTAGTGGCCTGCTGAAACCAGGCTTAACAGCGATGACAGCTCTGTGTATGGGACATCTCTTGTGCACCATTCCAAGTCCTCTGGGCCCCACCTCTCACTCCAGTGATTGCTGTAAGTATGTGTGAGTTCTGAAAGTGCCTGGGTTCAGACCCGTGGTGTATGTCTCTAGCATCCTGTTCCGGGGCTTCTCTGACCCGGCAGTATGGGCATCCCATGTAGGTCCTTGTAGCACTCACTCATATGTGTGCAAACCAGAAATGCAGGGGATTAATATGCTAGATCAATGGGGGGATGAAAGTTGATGAATAAATTCTTCTGTCCCCTCGGTGGATAGTTATGAAATGTTTTCATGAACTCCAAAGAATTAACTGTGCGATTAGACACCAGTGTCCCTTAGCAGTGACCAAATCAAGAACACATCCCTATATTGGCCCTTTTTCCTATCACAGTCATTCCCCTTGTCCCTCACTCCTGCTTCCTGGAATCACATGCCCAGTAATCAGCCTGTATGCAAGTCTTTGTCTCAGATTCTGTTTTGGGGAAACGCAAGATGAAATACTATGTATGTGGAAGTCCACAGTGAGAGACCAGAAGTTAATGGAAGAGAACATAAAAAGTTAGAATTTTGTGAACATTTATCTTTTCCCCTCTAAAGTCCAGCATGAATATATAATAAAAAAGTAAAAATGAGTAAAAAAAAGAGTTAAAAGAGGGTAAAATATTGGAACACTCAGAAAAGGCCATTTCTAAAATTGTCCCATTAGCCAAAGAATTTTCTGAGCCTCTTACAGTAGGGGTAAGGGAGAACAGTGGTGGCTGTACAAAAGGAGAAAAATCAAAGAAATTAAGTCAGGGATTCAAGAAAAAGAGCAAAGAACAAAGAATATCCTCTGCCTGCACTCCTTTAAGTAGATCTTGTTATTAAAGACTTGAATCCTAGAATTTTATTTACAAGGGACCTAGCAGACCGTCTAGTTAAAAATGCTGTCTTTGGCCAAGCGAGGTGGCTCACGCCTGTAATCCTAGCACTCTGGGAGGCCGAGGTGGAAGGATTGCTCGAGGTCAGGAGTTCGAAACCAGCCTGAGCATTTCTTTCTTTCTGAGCATTTCTTATTTCTTTCTATAAAATAGAAAGAAATTAATTGGCCAACTAATATATATATAGAAAAAATTAGCTGGGCATGGTGGCACATGCCTGTAGTCCCAGCTATTCCGGAGGCTGAGGCAGTAGGATTGTTTGAGCCCAGGAGTTTGAGGTTGCTGTGAGCTAGTCTGACGCCACGGCACTCACTCTAGCCTGGGCAACAAAGTGAGACTCTGTCTCAAAAACAAAACAAAACAAAACAAAAAAAACACTGTCTTTTACAGATGAAGAGATGAGGTCTAGAGAGGCTAAATGAACTTTTCAAGGCCACTCAGTTACATTAATAGCAGAACCAGGACCAGAACTCACTTCTGAAATTGGGACTCCATTTACTCATGGATTCTAAATTACACACCCCTGTGATTTCTGAGGCAGCCTGGAACCTCTCTTGGCATTATTTAAACTCTTTTTGGAGTCATGACCTAACTAGGATAATACTTTCAGGATACCCTGCCCCAGGTCACCAAGCAGCTAAGGTGCTAACAGGAAATACGAGGAAATGTCAGCTGTGCCTTCCTTTGCTTGTCAGAGAGGGGCTATGTTTCTGGAATTTCTTGTTATTTTAGGGGCATTCCCAATGCTGACTTCTCAAAGTTCCTATTAAACTGAGAAGACTTAGTCTGTGGATTTGGCCAAGGAGAGTGGAAATAATGATCCCATTCTGTTCTGGGGCTTTTTACTGGTGTTTCCCTCTAAGGCAACTTTGTTCTAAGTGGTCACCAAAGATAGTGCCCTTGGCTTTCTCCCCCCATTCCCCTTGGGTATCCAACCAAGATGTACCTAGTAAGGGTTCTGCTTTTTCTCCTTCTTATGCTGAGACCTGAGGTAAGACATTTTATACTGGTGAATAAGACAGATATGGCTCTTGCCTTACCTGGCTCACAGTCTGGTGGAGAACACAGACATTTATAAAAAAAAATCTCAATCACGTCTGAGGATTGTCAAGTCCAGAGTGCTGTGAGATCTGACCAGGTTTGGGGTCAGGGAAGGCCTCCCTAGGATGAAGTTTAAGATAAGATACAAAGGGCTAAATTGGTCAAGGATTTGGGAGTTGTAAGGAAGCAGCACATGGAAAAGCTCAGAGTGGAATAGGAAGCTTAAGGAAGTGAAAGAAGCCAGAACCCAGAAAGGCAGGCTGAGAGGTTGGCCTAGTCATGGGAGCTGTGGAGACCATTTCAAAAAGTTCTACCTTCTTCTCCAGTGGGTGCCGCTGAAGAGTTTTGAGCACGTGAGAGCAGTGATCAGATTTGTGTTTCGGAAGAATTCCCCAGATACAGAGTGGAGAGAATGAATTGGATGGAGGTGAGATAGGAGGCCACTTGTAGTGTGGGTAAGAAGTATTGGTGGCTTCACTGGAATGGAGAGCAATAAACTCCATGAGGACAGGGCACCTAGCATAGTGTTTGGCACATAAGTAGACTTGATAAATATTTATTAAGTGAATGAATGAGTGAATATACTATAAAAATATTTAGGAGAACCTAGTGATTAATCAGAATGTGAGAGGTGAGAGGGAGGGAGGAGGCAGGAAAGATGCCAGATTTCTGCCATCAGGTAATTAGGTGAATGCTACGGCCAGGTACTGAGATGAGAAACACAGTGAAGGAGGATGGTTATGGGGAGGGGTATGTATGAAGCTTTGGATGTAGTAGGTCATGAGAAATAATTCTATTGATTTGGCAATAATCATCTTACGTATGGTAACTGGAGTAACAAGAATGCATAGATGGTATGGCTCAAGAGGAATATGTAGAGGGAAGAGAGAACTCTGAAGGGTTTCCAGTGGGTGTTGCCATCCACCTTTCCCATAGCTGGGCTACTTTGGTATGTCATGTCTCATCACATTCCAGAGTAGCGATTGGCATGGGGCCCCTTCAGAGAGTCCCTTACCCATTCACTGTTCAAAGAAATCTAAATAAATACTTTAAGGTGGGAAGGAGAAAGAGGGAAGTAAATTATTTTGTTGATAATGTTTTAGCAGGTTCCTATTGGTTCTTTTAACAGATTTAGTTGAGTGAAATTCTTCATACCCTTCAATCTTCAGAACTCGCCTTTCTGGGTGTGACTGTAGTTCAAGGCTTTAAGGGAAGAAGTGGGCTGAAGAGAGAAAAAAAGGTGCTTTCTGTGAATGCCTTGCCCCTCCCAGGTGGCCGTTTGACGCCCAGCCTCTAACCTGTCAATTTGCCTCCCCTAGGAGGTGGCCCCAGCATGCCAGGCTGCTTGGCAGGACCATCTGGAATGCTAAGAGTTGGGGTTTGGCTTCCTGACCAGGTGTGATGGGGCTGCTTATGCTTATACCCACTCTATGGTCACTGAGACCACCTGGCTCCTGTGACCCCCTGGTGGTGATGGAGCCCTAGGAGCAGGCCAGGCTTTTCCTCAGTCATTTTCTATTGCATGTTGGCATCTTACACTGGGGGCAGCCATGGAAAGCCCTTTGAGGACTTGGATCGTATCTGTCTTGTCTGCCAGTGTCTGTCCAGCCCCTAGTACAGTGCCTGGCACAGAGTTGAGTAAATGAATGAATCCTTCGTCTACCTTTGGGGAGCTCTATCAGCCACTCTGGATCCCATTAAGTATAATGAAGGGGACAGCCAGGTTTGAGAAGGGGAAATGAGCCCTTCAGGTAAAGAGCCGGCAGTGGGAATGCTTTTCTTGCTCTGAGGTCCTATAGGAAGAAGCTTGACCGTTAGTTCTCATATGCTGCCACTTGTATTGCTTTGGAGATAGTGCCCTTCTAGGCAGGGCAGGGGCTCAGAATGGGTTTTCTAACAGAGGTGGATTGGCTGAAGCACATTTTGTGACCTGACTCCCTGTCCCTAATCACGTTTATTTGTGAGCTAGATGCTGAGTGGACTTCAGCCATGTTGGAGAGAGGAGTCCAGACAGCAGCCTGTGATCGCAGCGTCATTGTTCCAGGGCATCTTAGATGGGTCAGTGGGTCCGATCCAGGACTCAGGGATGGGAGACAAGATTTTACTTGAGCTCCTTGTCTATGGCAGCCACCTAGTGAACATCAGTTATTTAGTCTGTATTACTTTCCCATTGCCTTATTGTTGATTTTTGTCATTTTCTCTGTAGAACTTTATAGGAAAAGGGTTGCCTTCTCTGTATTTAATGCATGTAGCAGACACCATGGGACTTTGTGGACCATCGGTGTCTTTGGTCAGTCTGGCGGTGTTTATTGAGGACTAGTAGGTGTTAATCAGCATGTCCAGCACTGGCCACATGGCTGCAGGCCTTGTCTTTCTGCCCAGTGCAGACAAAGGAGGCTCCTGGCAACCAAGGATCTGGTTCTGGGCAAAAGAGGAGAAACCTTCCTGATAATTAATGACCCACATGGAAATGCTTATGCCTCAGTGCTAATATAGGGCAGTGGAGCAGCACGATCCAGGGATACTTCCTCAGAAGTCCAATCTTGGGAATTTTCTGTGAAAAGGATGTCCACTGTCAAGCTTGTGAAATAAATTTAATACATTCTATCTCCTTCTTGAAGATTCTTAATTATGCATTGGTG